TCAGGAGAAAGGTTCTGGAGAAGTGACAGCCAAGCTGAAGTAAAGCCCTCCCTCGTCAAAGGAAGCCAGGAGGCAAGAGTGCATATGAGAACGGGAGGTCCTTCCATGGAGCTGGGGAACTGACTACAAAATGATGAACAAAGAAGTTAGTTAAACGTAGCTTAGTGGCAGACTGCTTGCCTTGGTTTCAATCCCTGGCACCAAAACATAACACCAAAAGAAAGTGAGAATGTGATAGATTTTGAAGGGCTTTCTACAAAGAATGATATATAGATGTATTGTACAAAGCAAGGTACATCTTAGTGAATCAAGGCAATATTAATAATTAAGTAACAACAACAGGAATAAACCAGGAACCGCCTGATCAATTCAGGAATTATGGTCACTCTACTTGTAAGTCATGTTCAGCTGCTTGGACATCCAGTAAAAGTAGAGAGTCCATTTCTTTTTTATTTTATTTATTTATTTATTTTTGGTTTTTTGAGACAGGGTTTCTCTGTGTAGCTTTGGAGCCTATCCTGGCACTCGCTCTGGAGACCAGGCTGGCCTCGAACTCACAGAGATCCGCCTGCCTCTGCCTCCTGAGTGCTGGGATTAAAGATGTGCGCCACCAACGCCCAGCTTTTTTATTTTATTTTTGAAACATTTTTTAGATTTATTTTATGTGTGTAAGTGTTCTGCCTGCATGTATGTGTATCCCTTGCATGCTCCGTGCCCATGGAGGTCAAAGGTATTGGATCCCTAAAAACTGGAGATACAGGTGGTTGTGAGCTACCGTGTGAGCCCTAGGTCCTCTGTAAAAACACACAGTCCTCTTAGTCACTAAGCCATCTCTCCAATCCCAGGTCTTCTTTTTAAATCTCACACATTTTATCTGAGTAACTATCTGTACCTTTTGCCTTGTTTTTTGTTTTTGTTTTGAGACAGGAACTCCTTATGTAACCCTTGACTGGCTTAGACGATGAGATATTGACCAATCTGGCCTCAACTTGCAGCAACCCTCCTATCACTTGACTCCTGAGTGCCCGGATTCAAGGTGTATGCCACTATATCTGGCCATACCTTTGTCTCTATTCATTTCACCAATTATCTGCTGGCCCTACCTTTCTGGGCGCAGAGGTTACAAAGAGAAAAGACAGTCTGTTCTCAAGCTGAGGAAAGCACAAACAAAGAAACAATTCTATTCGTTACACAATGAGTACTGAACTCTCCACTAAGCGTAGACTCCTATTGTCATTTCTAGTTAGTATGCAAAACATAGATGCCAAACAAAACTTACTTTCTCCTCCAAGTCCGTCTTCCTTCAATTAGACTCTCCCTTCTTCTGATGGTCTTGCAATGCCACTAATACTACACTGTTTGAGGAAGAAACCAAGGAAAGTGCTGCTTCCATCAGTGTTACCCTTCCTTTCACTGGACATTTTATTTTTTATATTTTGGAGAGAGAGAGAGAGAGAGAGAGAGAGAGAGAGAGAGAGTGTGTGTGTGTGTGTGTGTGTGTGTGTGTGTGTGTGTGTGTTTTATCTGCCCATATGTGCCTCTATATATGAAGACCAGAAGTTGATGTTGGGTGTCTTTCTTATTTTTTGAAACTCATCTATTAGGCTAGGCTGGCTGGCCAATGAGCTCCAGGAGTGTGCCTGTCTCAACTCTACCCAGTGCTGGGGTTACTAGTGGATGGAGAACTGGTGCTGGCAATCTGAACTCAGCTTCCTAAGTTTGTGCTGCAGGTACTTCATTGACTCGGCCATCTCCTCAGCCTCTTCATTCTATTTTTCGAGAGTATCACTCAATGAACCTGAAGTTCCTTGATTTAGTCAGACTGTCTAACCGACATGCCCCTAGGGGATCCTCCTGTCTCCTTTCCAGGTAGGTGCTGGGGCTACAGGCACACATCACCTCATCTAGGGGTTTATATGGGTACTGAAGTTCAAATTCAAAGACTTCACAGACTGAGTCATCCCACCAGCCCCTGAACATTTTAATTCTTACTGCAATAATTTCTAAGCTAGCCTATTCATAATTGGTTTCATTATGTCATTTTCACACATATATGACATTATATTTTGTTGTATCCTCTTGGATACATTTTAGTTTATAATTTAATTTTCATCCCCCCCTGGCCAATTTAATTATCCATTTTTTTTTTTTTGAGTCAGGATCTTACACACCAGATTGGACTGGAATTTTATGTGTTGTCCAGGTTGGCCTCCTGTGTGCTGGGAGTACAGGCATGAGCCACTATGCTTTTCTTGAGAACATTGATCTTGTCAGGCAATAGGGGTGCACACCTTTAATTCCAGCACTCGGGAGGCAGAGACAGGTGGATCTCTGTGAGTTCCAGGCCAGCTAGCCTGGCCTGCCAGCAAGTTCCAGGACAGGCTCCAAAGATACAGAGATTATGTTTTCAAGACAGTGCCTGTCTTGAAAAACCAAAACCAAAACCAAATAACAAAAAATAACAGAATATTGATCTCAACCCTTTATGGAATTCTAACCCATCCCATTGCAATCCAACTAAAGTTTACCAAATATACATGATCTGGGTCCTGGTTATATTTCTTTAATCAGCTCTGTTCCAGCCATTCTGGCCTCCCTGCTTCTTTTCCATGTACCAGGGACACTGTACTTGCTCTCTCTCATCTATGGTTCTTTATAGAAATCTACTTAGCTTCCATTTCTCATTAAATATCAGATTTCTGCTTGTGTGCTGTGTCTGCTAAGAGGCCTTTCTTCCCCATCCAGACTAAAAGAAAATCTCTGTATCACTGTTATCTCTTGATTCCAATTAATTTTCTATAAAACCACATTATGAGGCATCTTTTAATACTTACTATTTATATATAATATATTCATCTTTTATCATATGTAATTCATGAGCCTTATGAGCAAGAGAATATGTTTTGCTCACTACCAAATTCTCAGCACCTAGAACAGTGAACTGTTCATTGTGTATTTGCCAAATGAATGAATAGATCTGAGGACTCAGAAAATGTAAAGTGCCATATAATATTGATACAATAAATAGGAAAGTGCATGGAAGGAAATACATAAAAACATTAACTGTTTATTTAGCATGGTGGGGTGATTTTCACATGTGAATTTTAATCTTTTCTTTTTTTTAAGACAGATCTTTCACTCTGTAGCCTAGACTGAACTCAAACATATGGTAATTGTCCTGCAGTCTCCTGAGTGTAGTGATCACAGATGTATGCTACTAACTACACCCAGCTGAGATTTTTGTTTAACAATGGACTTATATTACTTTTGTACCAAAAAAAAAAAAAAAAGAATAAAGATGCCACACAGGCAGTGTATAACTGAATTCTAACAGAAGTTGGGTAAATCTGTAAGACAGAGTTTTAAATAGATATACAGCATAATAGTTCAGACCAACCATGGTTGGAATCCCTTCCCCAGCACTTGGTAGCAATGTGATCCTAAGTTATATATTCCAGTGCCTAGATTTCCTCAGCTGGACCATGGGAACAGGAACAGTGCATCCCTCAGAAAGTTGTTGGTGTAATGTTTTGTACAATGCCTGGCATACAGAAAGGAAGGATTCCACAAATGGAAGCTCTTATAACAATCTCTACTAGTCGTAATAAGAGATGTTGGGACATACCTAGCCCTCAAGATTGACATCAGAGTGGACCACCACATCATCACTGCACTTCCATGTGAGCATCTGAAGCTCAGGGAGGGGCTGGGTCTTTCCAGAGAAGGCAATTTCGACGTCCCAGAAGCATCAGAATGAAAAGTACCCTCTTCACCCCTCAAGGCATTCAGTTTGAGTAATCCATGAGTGGCTTGCGTTCGTCAGGCCCAGCGCCTGGGCAGCCTGAGTTTCCTCGCTTGCAACAGGACTGGAGTGGGATTGTTATGAGAAAATCCAGATTGAACCAGGCGGGACCACCTTAGAGCACCGCACCGGGACTCCTGTGGCGACAGGAAAAGTGACAGCAGATCAGACTCCAGGGCCTGCTGGCGAGCGGGAAAGCATCA